GAGAGTCAGTGACATTTGGGCTAAAGTATAAGGACGATTTATCCGTATTGAGCTTTTGGCCAGACGCCAAACAGTAGTCATCGACAATCTTTTTTAAAACACTACAGTTTTGAGTTGTAGCATGGATGAAGAAAAGAGAATCATCGGCAAATAAAAGGTGGGATATAGTTGGGCCGCTCCGACAGAGACGTACCCCATGCAGACAGCCACGTCTCACGGCATCCTCCACATTACGAGAGAGAACCTCACTGATCACCTTATTTAGTTAGGATTTTAGTTCCTTACTATGTTAGGATTTTGGTTACTTACCTATTTATTTAGTCGACCTATTGCAATTGAGATTTATTTCTTATTGTATTTAGGGTTAACATATCTGAGCATATCTGAATATATCTGAGAATTCTCATACACTTTGTTTGACATGGTATAAAAGCCTTGGTTTTCTTGTGACATGTGCTTACGTTCTCCTTACAATTTAAGTGTTTTAGAGGGGAGGGAGAGTGAAAAGGATATGTTTCTATTTCCCGTGAAGATATTGCCTATTTTTTTATTGCGACAACCTATTCTCTTCTTTTCAAGGGGAAAAGAGGAGTAAAGAGTAGTTGTGTCTGCGTGAATTAGGTAAAGTAGATATGGTGGACTTCTTAGTCACTTTGGATGTTGTTGTCGTTGTCGTCGTCGTGGCTGCTGCTACCGCCATTGATGTTGCCCTTGCCTTTGCTTGCTTCGCTTTTCGTTGATGTGGTCATTAACGTTGTTATTGTTGTGGTTGTGCCCTTTACCTTTGCTCTTTCATTGCTTTTCTTTGCCTTTCCTTTGCCATGTTCACAGGGTTTTTGTGTTCTTTGCCGTGTTCACAAGGTTTGTGTTCTTTGCCTTACCCTTGCCATGTTCACAGGTTTGTGTCCTACCGTGTTCTGATGTGTGTTCTGTTTTTTAGGGTTTATGTGTTCTACCATGTACCTTATTTTTTAGAGTTTACTCTTGTGTTTCCACTGCAAACTTTGCTTTAGTTTGTCGTGACTGATGAAAAGACCTTCTCTACAAGTTGTTCGATTGGTCAATATTAAGTATGGTGTTCTAAGCCTTGCCAATATCAAGTATGGTGTTCTAAGACTTGCTTGTCAAGTTGAGCATGCGGACACCTTTGCACCAACTTGAGGTGTAGTGTTGGTTAGGGGTGGGCATGGTCCGGTTTGGACCGGTTTTCTTGAAAAAATGAAATTTGAACCGAAAATGAAGACCGGTTCAATTTGAACCAATTTTATTAAAAATTCATACAGAAATCCAAACCAACCCGAACCTATCCGGTTCCAATTCTGGTTCGGTTCCTGCAGTTCCAGTTTGGGCCTGAGCCCCAAAATTTATTTATTTTTTTTTTTTTCAAACCTGTCTTATTTAGTTAGGATTTTAGTTCCTTACTATGTTATGATTTTGGTTACTTACCTATTTATTTAGTCGACCTATTGCAATTGAGATTTATTTCTTATTGTATTTAGGGTTAACAAATCTGAGTATATCTGAATATATCTGAGAATTCTCATACACTTTGTTTGACATGGTATAAAAGCCTTGGTTTTCTTGTGAGATGTGCTTACGTTCTCCTTACAATTTAAGTGTTCTAGGGGGGAGGGAGAGTAAAAAGGATATGTTTCTATTTCCCGTGAAGATATTGCCTATTTTTTTATTGCGACAACCTATTCTCTTCTTTTCAAGGGGAAAAGAGGAGTAAAGAGTAGTTGTGTCTGCGTGAATTAGGTAAAGTAGATATGGTGGACTTCTTAGTCACTTTGGATGTTGTTGTCGTTGTCGTCGTCGTGGCTGCTGCTACCGCCATTGATGTTGCCCTTGCCTTTGCTTGCTTCGCTTTTCGTTGATGTGGTCATTAACGTTGTTATTGTTGTGGTTGTGCCCTTTACCTTTGCTCTTTCATTGCTTTTCTTTGCCTTTCCTTTGCCATGTTCACAGGGTTTTTGTGTTCTTTGCCGTGTTCACAAGGTTTGTGTTCTTTGCCTTACCCTTGCCATGTTCACAGGTTTGTGTCCTACCGTGTTCTGATGTGTGTTCTGTTTTTTAGGGTTTATGTGTTCTACCATGTACCTTATTTTTTAGAGTTTACTCTTGTGTTTCCACTGCAAACTTTGCTTTAGTTTGTCGTGACTGATGAAAAGACCTTCTCTACTGTGTTCTTTGCCGTGTTCACAGGGTTTGTGTTCTTTTCCTTGCCCTTGCCATGTTCACAGGTTTCTGTGTCCTACTGTGTTCTGATGTGTGTTCTATTTTTTACGGTTTATGTGTTCTACCATGTACCTTATTTTTTAGGGTTTACTCTTGTGTTTCCATTGCAAACTTTGCTTTAATTTATCGTGACTGATGAAAAGACCTTCTCTACAAGTTATTCGATTGGTCAATATCAAGTATGGTGTTCTAAGACTTGCTTGTCAAGTTGAGCATGCGGACATCTTTGCACAAACTTGAGGTGTAGTGTTGGTTAGGGGTGGGCACGGTCCAGTTTGGACCGGTTTTCTTGAAAAAATGAAATCTGAACCGAAAATGAAGACCGATTCAATTTGGACCGATTTTGTTAAAAATTCATACAGAAATCCAAACCAACCCGAACCTGTCCGGTTTTGATTCCAGTTCGGTTCCTGCGGTTCCAGTTTGGGCTTGAGCCCAAAAAAAAAAATTTGTTCTTTTTTTCAAACCTGCCAAAAATGTATTTATATTGCTGACCTACCCTAAATTTGAACTTCCAACAAGCTATCAACACATCATAATGAATCCAACTTCAACAAAATATAAATTACAATAGAGATTCAATCCAAATTCAATAACATATAAATTACAACCTAAATCCAATCCAACTTCAGCAAAATAAGTTCCAAAATAAATTACAACCCAAATTCAATCCAACTTCATTAAATTCCTCCTAACACTGAAAAGTAACTTCAGCAGACTTGGTAGGTGTGGATGAACTCATTTGCACCAATTTTCTTCTTCTAGGCATCTTATAAATTCCGCTAATTTAGAGGCATGCCCTTGCTTCTTGTCTTTTAATGGGATAAGAAAACTAAGTAATAACTCTGATTCAGCATTAACATTATCAGCAGAATTTGAAAAATCATCACAGCAAGCCGATTCTTGGTATCCATAATAATATGATTTATTATCTCTCCTTTAAGAATATTGCTCAAGCAACAGATAGAAATGGTGTACATATGCACTATATTTATCATACTACTATATTTATTCGGCCATTCAAATCAAGAATTTTCTTGTAGAGAAGAAAAAAGAGGGTAAAGGTTAAGAATTTTATGGAAGTAGAGTTTCTTCAATTGAAAGCCTTGGTTTTTATGGAAGTAGATCTATCTTTTAAATCCTTATGAATTTACAAATAACACTCCGACATCTAAAAGATTTTGACCTTCTTCAAATATCTTGCAAACGCAATCATTACAAACAAGATTTACCATGTACCTTATTTTTTAGGGTTTACTCTTGTGTTTCCATTGCAAACTTTGCTTTAATTTATCGTGACTGATGAAAAGACCTTCTCTACAAGTTATTCGATTGGTCAATATCAAGTATGGTGTTCTAAGACTTGCTTGTCAAGTTGAGCATGCGGACATCTTTGCACAAACTTGAGGTGTAGTGTTGGTTAGGGGTGGGCACGGTCCAGTTTGGACCGGTTTTCTTGAAAAAATGAAATCTGAACCGAAAATGAAGACCGATTCAATTTGGACCGATTTTGTTAAAAATTCATACAGAAATCCAAACCAACCCGAACCTGTCCGGTTTTGATTCCAGTTCGGTTCCTGCGGTTCCAGTTTGGGCTTGAGCCCAAAAAAAAAAATTTGTTCTTTTTTTCAAACCTGCCAAAAATGTATTTATATTGCTGTCCTACCCTAAATTTGAACTTCCAACAAGCTATCAACACATCATAATGAATCCAACTTCAACAAAATATAAATTACAATAGAGATTCAATCCAAATTCAATAACATATAAATTACAACCTAAATCCAATCCAACTTCAGCAAAATAAGTTCCAAAATAAATTACAACCCAAATTCAATCCAACTTCATTAAATTCCTCCTAACACTTAAAAGTAACTTCAGCAGACTTGGTAGGTGTGGATGAACTCATTTGCACCAATTTTCTTCTTCTAGGCATCTTATAAATTCCGCTAATTTAGAGGCATGCCCTTGCTTCTTGTCTTTTAATGGGATAAGAAAACTAAGTAATAACTCTGATTCAGCATTAACATTATCAGCAGAATTTGAAAAATCATCACAGCAAGCCGATTCTTGGTATCCATAATAATATGATTTATTATCTCTCCTTTAAGAATATTGCTCAAGCAACAGATAGAAATGGTGTACATATGCACTATATTTATCATACTACTATATTTATTCGGCCATTCAAATCAAGAATTTTCTTGTAGAGAAGAAAAAAGAGGGTAAAGGTTAAGAATTTTATGGAAGTAGAGTTTCTTCAATTGAAAGCCTTGGTTTTTATGGAAGTAGATCTATCTTTTAAATCCTTATGAATTTACAAATAACACTCCGACATCTAAAAGATTTTGACCTTCTTCAAATATCTTGCAAACGCAATCATTACAAACAAGATTTACTGTATATTGCCAAATTTCCATGATATGCACAATAGCATTCTCAGTACGCCAGCGAGTTGAAACTCGGGTAGGTCGGAGTAGGTGGTGGAAGTTCGCCAATGAGGTATCCCAACTTGTCTTTGCTGGTGACATACATCTTGACACTTAGGATTAAAGAGGGTAGTAGGAGCCATCCAACTTGATGCTAATCTGTGCAACGAAAGCTTCAAAGGTAATAGTCAATGTCGAGGGTTGGGGTCTATGTCTGAGTCAAGTTTAGGGTCGAGTTCAAGGTCAAGTTTACGGTCGAGTTCAGGATTGGGTTCTGGTTATGTATTTTGAAGAATTAGGCCATATGAGTGGCCAGTTCTTAGAAAATCAATAAACTGTTTGACTCCACCAACAAAAACAGAAAATCAAAAAACAAAAATAAAAAATAAATCTGCAAATCCTCAAGCCGAATAACTTTTTCTGTTTTTAAAAAGTTAAAAAGTAATAATATCAGCAAATCATAGTTACAGAACCAGCACAATATGTTCACAAGATTTAGCGATTTAATATCACCTACTTAATGCAGATTTTGAATCTTCAAAACGTGATGGACAAGTGGCATCAATTACATAGACCACAACATGTGCTTCTTCATAATATTTTTCCCAGATTAAGCGAAGACCAGACTGACAGCAAAAACAAACAACTCTTGCATCAAAAATGGCACGGATGAATTTCACATACCTGACCTCCCAGATCCCAGAACACAAGTTTGGTATTTGATGCTTCAATACGACCAATATTAAGTCCCACAGTTGGAACAATTCGATCAGGAAGGAGACCTTCCAAGTTTGAGTAAAGTGATTTCAAATTCTCGAGCAAAGTCTACAAATTGATATCAGAATAAGAATTACAGCTAACGTATCTGAAGATCTGTTAAAAGAAGACAATTCCACCAGAAATAAAAGCAGCTCAAAATCACAAAACAAAGCCCAATAAGTAAAAGAGAGATAGAGAGAGAGAATCTGACATGCGTGACGGCGGCGACTGAGAGAGGCTGAGAGAAGAGCGACGGCAGAGAGGAGTGATGTGATGGCTGAAAGAGAAGTTTGGAATCGGTGGCGGCTGGCTGAGTATGAAACGAAATGGGAGGAGAGGAAAAAAGGAAGAAAGAAGAAAACCTAAGTCACTCTCAGGGCCCTTTTTCTTGGGTGTAATCATGTGCGTGCGCTACCTATGGTAGCAGCATACACACCCAATCAAACTTTGAAAAAATATATAATTTTAAATATAAATATATATAATATTTTAAAAATATATAAATTAATTATATTGGACCAGTTCTTCAGAGTGGAAAATCGGAATCGGAACCGGTCTGAACCGGTTCGGTTTGGATTTGTCTCGATTTTTGACTTTTTCAGTCAATACGATTTTTTTCGATTTTTTTCGGATTGGTTTGGTTCGGTTTTACGGTTTTGTGGTTCCAATGCCCACCCATAGTGTTGGTGAGTCCTTATTTGGTTAGGATTTTATTTACTTACCTATTTATTTAGTCCTATTGAAATTGAGATTTATTTCCTATTTATTTAGATAAATGACAAACTACAATCCACCACTCAGTCTTCGCGTCGAACATAAGCATATGTCTGCTCCAATCATCCTCCCCCCATGATGGCGACAAGGATTTGAAACTAAAGTTTGCAATTCCAAGATCGCTGCTCTAATACCATATTAAAATATGAAAACCTATGAGAGAATATTGTTTGTGTATTTTTCTCCTTGTAGAGAAGTGAAACAATCGAAGAAGAACATGGAGAAATTTATGAGAGGGCGGCACGGGTGTGTTGGTGAAACCAAAGAAGAGACTTCCATATTTATAGTACAATAAATCATTGTAGGTCAAGGAAAGTAATAATTCCTAATTCTATTTACAGTGGGAAATCAAGAATTAAAGAAAATCAATTACTTTTAATATGGGAATCTTTGGTGTGCAAGGAAAGTAAATGCAAGTCCACAAGTCATGCCAACAAGTTTGCCGTTCAGATGTTCGAAAAATTCATCCACGACTTTTTGACTGTCGCTTCTTTCTGTGTGTGAGAGACGACTGTGTGATTAGAGAAAGCATGAGAAAGAAACATGATGCGGTGATGAGCAGCTTCCAGCCATGGAGGCCACCAGAGTCGTTGCTGCCTACCATGGCAACAATTGTGAGATCATCCTGTTGCTCTTCTTCTTCATCTGGAAAACATACAAAATAACATAAAATCCCAACATAAAAGAGGAAACTTATTTTTGGAATAAATATGGACATATGTGATGGTAAATATGGACATATTAGGGGTGTCATTGTTTCCTTTTTTTTTCGGGAAAGGGTTGGAGTAAAATAATTAAATGCGTTAATAAGCAACACACCTGTCGTATCTTCATCAGGGTCCCCTGGAAAACATACAAAATAACATAAAATCCCAACATAAAAGAGGAAACTTCTTTTTGGAATAAATATGGACATATGTGATGGTAAATATGGACATATTAGGGGTGTCATTGTTTCCTTTTTTTTTTTCGGGAAAGGGTTGGAGTAAAATAATTAAATGCGTTAATAAGCAACACACCTGTCGTATCTTCATCAGGGTCCCCAAGGAGCTTCTGTAGCCATATCGGATCTCATATTCGTCTACTTATGGTGGAGAGCAAGTATACTCCTGGCTCATATTGACGCAAATCTTCCCTCCTGACACGTGGATAATAAGAATCTGTGGAAATAGCCATTATATTATAATTCTCTTCTTGCACCTGCACAAGCTGGATGCCAAACTCCTTCACACGAAAGCAACCACTTGATCGCCACCTTCTAAGTGAACTATCTCCTCCAACTTCCAGTGGCTTAACCATATCATGTCTTCTCCTTCACCTGGAACACCGTAGCATATTGGGCCGTAGATCCACTTCAGACCTTTGCTCTTATTTTTTACTCTAGTAATTATTGGCCCAGGTGAACCTTCAGGAAGATCATTGACATATTTTGTATAGACAACGAAGACCTTCAAGCCTCGAATTTGGTGATTAGGAAGTGAAGGCACCGTAAAAGAGATCGAGGACTTTGTACTTTTATGGCTGAACTGGCCTGGAACCTCATTCCCGACAAAAAATGTGCTGAATATACCATATTCATACAGTCCCTATATATAATGCAATGGAAAAGACAATGTTAATTAATACTCTTTCCAATGATCGTATGAGAGAAAGAGAGGGAGAGAGGTGTACCTGGACCGAACTGCAATCATCCTTTCGTGACCCCCAACTTGAGCTGTGCATTTGAATGGGTGCCATGGATTCCAAGTTGCACAAGCCCAAAAGGTTGATTATTTCTACATCAACTCTTCCAATGGGTTCCAGCTTGTACCAGTACTCCCATTCAACTAGGTTGCGGTTGTCATGAAAAAAAACTTGAGGCCGCTTATAGAGGGAAGATTGATATGTTACTTTTTCCAAAGATATGCAATCTACCACAACCAATTCGCCTAGTTTTGGTAACCCAAGAAGCGATTTGAGACTCCTACACCCTACAAAAGAGAGTGTATCGAGCCTCTTTAAACCTTTGATGAAATCTGGCAGGCTACAAATTGGATTATTACCTAGATTTAGTCTTTGCAATGAGGGTAGATTACTAAACTCCCTGGTAAAGGCATCATCCGAAATATTGCACCCACAAAGACTCAAGTCTACTAAAGAGCATGGTAAAGAACTCAAGATACATGAACTTCTTCCTGGCCATAATTCACCAATTGGAATTCCATCTGTCTCGAGCACTTTCAGAGATTCCATACTCCTCAACATCTCAATTGGTAACTCAAGATTTATGCAACCAGATATAATAAGTGCTTCAAGTAATTTTAGCATGAACATGTTCTCTGGAAGTATCCTAAGATTTGCGCAATCCTTCATACTCAAGTAAACAAGTCTCTCAAGGTTTCCAATGGATCCATGGACACAAATTAGGCTCACACAATCTACAAGAATAAGTTTCTCTAGATTTGGGCAAAATGAGAAGTCAGTTTCTGTAAGGGAATGAGAATGGCTGAGATCAAGGATCTTCAATGACAGAAGACACTGGGGAAAAAATGTAAATAAGAAAACAATGTGGGGAGTTAGTTGTTATAGATATATGAACTTGTTATCAAGCTAAAAGCCTAATGAAAATGAAAGAGGAATTGAAAAGCATGGAGTAACATACTTTCATTCCTTCAAAGACTTGTCTCAAGCTGCTATATTGCATTTCAAGAACAATTAGGCTCCCCAAAGGAAAATCAGTGGGTATAGAATCCAGGGGAAACTTAAGCCAACACAACCATCGTAATCCTGTACAAAATTGTGCATAAGATCCGTCAAGTTGTACATGACTAAGATGGAGGAGCTTTAGTTTGTGCATCCTTGCAAAAGCATTGGTTTCTAAAACCTTCTCCTTTGAGTTTGTGGGATTGTTTGTATGGCGCATATGCATGTCCAAGACAAGACCTTCAATTGTTTTTGAACCCTACATAAAAAAAGGGGAAGAAACATTTGGAAAATATTTATAAGAAGAAAAACATATGTGTGCGCACATGTCATGTTTCTTACTTTCTTTTCTGTCAAGATTTTGAAAGAATCATTATGTTGCCATACTCTACTACACTTCCAAGGCTCCTCTGATTCTTGACGAACAATATCTTTTCCCATTGCACAAATCATGTCATGCATCTGCACCTTCTCACATTCATCAATTGTCACTAAACACCTATCGGTGAGATTTTGAATGCCAACAATTGTATAGAAATCGCATCCATCTAGTATTTTAATAACATAATCTTTGTCCTTTCCTATGAAGAAACAAGCAATGTGGAGGAATAATTTTCTATCATGGTCATCTTGTAAGGAGTCGTAGCTTACTCTTAGTTTATTTGTTATTTCACCATTTGGAATAGCTTCTAACTTCTCCAATGCACTTTTCCATACACCTATTCTTTCCCCCGACAAAGAAGAACCTAAAACTTGAAGAGATAATGGAAGCCCTCCGCTGTGGTGCACTAGCTTTTTTGAATATTCTATGTAATCTTCAATGGGATGGTCTTGGCCAAAAGCGTGCCAACTGAAGAGCACCAATGAATCTTTGTAATTCAAAGTTTCAACAGCATGCACATGATCAACTTGATGAGCTTTTAACAATCTTGCACGCCTAGTTGTTACGATGATTTTACTTCCTGGATAAAATCGATCTTTCATCCGAAGTACTGCATCTAATTGGTCCATGTGATCCACATCATCGAGAACAAGGAGAACCCTTCTAGAACTTATGGCATCTCCAATCCTAGTTATTCCTTCATTGAGATTGCTTATTTTCACTTTTCTCCCATTCAAAACATCATAAAGAAGTTGTGTTTGTATTTGAACTAAGCCAGTAGGTTGTTTTGAAATTTCTTTGATATTTTCAAGGAAGCTGCTTCTTTCAAATCTTCTAAAGTTTGAATTATAAACAAACTTTGCAATGGTTGTCTTTCCTATTCCACTAATACCATAAATTACAGCTATGCCGATATCAGTTGATCCATCTTGTAACCACAAGTTAAGTTTGTTGACTCGAGATTGCATCCCGATCATGATGTTGGGAACACTTAGGGGTGTGCGATTTAGTTTGTCTCCTATCACTTTAACAATTTTGTTGATGAACTTTGACTCGTGCCTATCAAAATAAAGCAGAATTCAAACATGTATGATGTCATATTCGTGAAGTGTCAACATGATAAAAGTTACAGGATACAAATAATTAGTTTAGGGTTTAGGGTTTATTATATTTCAACCCTAAACCCTAAACTAACAAAAGATGGTAGATAGATATAGTTAAAAGAAAACAAATTGAATAGTACATATTCTATTAAATTTTAGCCAGTAGTGCATACACGCTGATTGTGAATGGGAATGAATTTAATGACTAGTGATTGTATAGTAATTGTCAAAATGCTTTGAGTTTCTATGTTCTCCACTTTATTTAAGCTAAACTTTTCTTCTGGTAAAACGTATCCATCTTGGTCATTTTCAGCATACTTTCATTATATTGGGTATTAACATCAATATCCAAATTAACGTAGAAAAGAGGAAATGTGACAACCAAATTGGAAAAGAGATAATGTACAATTACTATACTCTGTCCTTACTGTTCTATTTTATATTATTTTAATGATAGTATACTATGGTTGACAAAAAAAAAAGCACTATGGAGTGGTAGGAAAGAAATTACCCAAGAGCTTGATTTTGTAGGACCATCGCTGCCAGATCTGCAACCTCTGCAAGTGCCTCCCTCCACACTTCCACCTTCTTCAGCGGTTGAGTTTTTTGGTGTCTAGCAAATGCCTTTGCAATATTCCCTGTCTGCTTCCTCACATGGGATGGATCCACATCGTAGAACACTGGTAAAATGACATGGTCAGCTGATCTCCTCTTACGTTCAAGGATCATCATGAGCTCATCAAGGCACCATGTGGAGGACGCATAGTCTTTTGAGAACACAATAACAGAAGTCCGTGAGTGTTTGATTGCTTTCTGCAATGCGGGCTTAATATGTTCTCCTCTCTCAAGCTCATCGTCGTCACGGAAAGTATGAAATCCTGCGTTGACCAAGGCTGTGTAGAGGTGGTCGGTAAAAGTCTTGCGAGTGTCTTCACCTCTGAAACTCAGGAACACGTGATAACGACAATATCGAGAAGTATTAGAAGAAGAGGTTCGTTCAGCTGCTCTCACAAGTGCCATAGATGGATGGAAACAAACGAACAAACAAACTTCCTGGATTATGTAAACAATAGCAGCTCATGAATTAATTACCAAATGAAAGGATAAGGTATCGGTGGACTTAAAAGCAATAATACTGAGTTCAACATGAGGCGGCGAGACTCTTCCGCACTTTTTAATGCTAAACAATTAGCTAATTCTGCCACGAAGTTTACTTTAATTTGCAATTCAGCCACGAATTTTTCTTGGATTTACATTAGCGCCACTGAGTTTGCTTTAATTCATTCACAATAGCGCCAGTGAGTTTACTTGAATTTACAATATAAAGCCAAGGCCAAAAGGAATTGATAAAATCACACAAGCCCCCCAAGTCCATCTTTAAGAACAAGGGAACTTGAAATTAAAGTAGAACAAGTTCATGGCTGGAAACTTGAAAGTAGAACCGGTGTTGGCTGAGCCTAGCCGTGGCGGAATCCTTATTGTGGTGTATGAATCATATGAACCCGACTTCAGTGACATGAAGGGAAGGGAGTGTTGATTTTTTTAGTAGTCTTATCGGTTTAAGCCAAATCTAGGTAAAGTAAATAATAGTAAACATGCAATCAATAACCTATATAAATTTGATTAGAAGCAAACATCAGAATTTTTCTTCTAGTTACTCAAAACGCCATATTTGAACCTTCATAGCCTAGAAGCAGGGCCGGTCCTGAGTTTTCAAAGGCCCAGGGCGAAAATCTAAAATGTGCCCTACACACATTAATCACTAATACTAGTATACTTCTTGTTTTATCAACTAAGCATTGGGTTTTTTGAGAAAGTATTTATTCGAAAATATTTTTAGACTTTGAGCAATGTCTTCCATATTCCTAAATAATGAAAACAAATGTCCAACTATGGAGACCATACCAATGAGTCAAAGAATTTCAAGAAATTGTTGTTGTTAAGTTTTTATGATTTAGGTTTGGGTGATAACTTTTGGGGATTGTTATATATGTTTTATTTTTGCAACTTGAATTATTAATTAGTATATTTGATTTTTGATATCTATTATTTGTTGTTAGGAAATCATGCCACTTGATGATAATAGACCGACAAAGAGAGAAAAAACTATTTATTCATTCTTCAAAAAAAGTGATTATGATAACAAGGATACACTGCATCTTATGTTGACACTTCAATTCCTAAGGAACTTACTCAACTTGGATCTCAAGTAGTTGAACAGTGTGTTTGATTTGATATTTATTTATTTTTTGTACTTTTTTTGTGTTATATTTGCTCATAATGTGGCCTTATTTGATTTATAAAATTTTATTTACATTTTTATTTGAAGAGAAAAAAATGTTTATAATGTATCTCCTATAAAAAATAAAAAATAAAAAATTTAACCTACCCTTATAAAAATTCATGGATCCATCATTGCATGGGGCCTGCATGGGATTCAAGGCAACCGCTGTGAGCTTACATACTTGGTAGAGAATAAAACAATAAGGCACAATCTCTTATCTGATTAGCCCTTGCATACTGACAGAGTGTGAACATAAAATAAATGTCAAGGGTTTGATAATATTAGTGGAACGCGTCTGGGTTTTAATAAAATCACTCAATGACCTTTCAATATGGGCAGTAGCAAAAAAAAAGATAGAATTTATCATTTATGCATATGCAGTGCTCAGATTTATATTTAAGGCTATTTATATAATAACCCTCTAAAATAACGTGCAAAATATAGTAGTTTTTGTGAAAAGATTGATAATAATAATATACTAGCCTTTCCGCACGCGCTTCCGTGCCTGCGAGAGACTTTTTTTTTTAAAATTTTAAATCTATTTTAGAATTTAAAAAAATAATGGGTAGTTGTGTTCCATAAAAATAGGATCCATTATTTGATTTTTTTAAATTTTAATTTTTTTATTTATGAAAAAGTGTGAATTTACCATATTATCCTCATTTAATTAATAATTTCAATTCTTAATATTTACATTAATCAAGGACATTTTCTGGTATTTTGAATGTTTCACCATTCTCTGCCTTTTGCTTTATATATATAGATATAAAAAGTTTTAGTGAAAAGAAATTGTGCAACATTATTAATAATAAGTATGGAATTTGTCAGGTAAGAGATTGAAGGCAAATATCTTATCTGATAATAAAGTCGTTCGATAGGGGGAGGTTTGCCTCTTGCTTCTCTACTTCTTCCCACCTTTGCAGTGACAAAGGAGAGACGGGCAGTGGCGG